GTAATAGCAGTTTTATCAATAGATAAAGCTTTACTTTTAAGCTTTTTTCAATAAATTTTTTATGATTTTTAAACTTAATAATAAAATTAAAACTAATCCAAATGGTTCTTTCCGGTGGCCAGAAATTATCAGAACTAGTTGAGGATAGATTAGTTATGGTAGTAGTTGATTGAGGAGTTAAATGTTTGGTTAAAAAAGTTTGACGAGCCTGAACTACTTGAGAATAATTAATAGCATATTTATATATTTTTTTATTAAAATATAATTTTATGTTTACTTTTTTTGAATTAAAATATATTTTGAGTTTAAAAATTAAACATATTTCTATCAGATATTTAATTATATAATAATATAAATTTTTTAATAGTTATTCAATAAAATATAAAGTTTATTTAATAAACTATTTAACTTTATATTTAATAATTTTTTTTTAGATTATAATATTTGTATAAAAGAATTGAAGTATTAAGTGTAATTAAAATTTATTCATATTTTATATTATAAATTAATATATAATCATAAAATTTACATTGAATTTTAATATCAAAAAATAATTTATACTATAATAAAATTACTACTTATTTTTTAAAAAAATATAATATTAAATAATTAGAATTAAATTTATATTTATTTAATATTATATTTAATTAATTTATATATTAATTTATATATTTGATATTTAAAAAATTTTTTTAATATAATTAAAACTTAATTTATATATTTTAATTTTTTATAAAAAAATTTTATTTATAAATAATATATATATAATATAATAAGTTAATTATATCACTTATACTAATTTTACTTAATAAATTTTTAATTTAAATTTGTATCAAAATCAATATTATTGGTAGTTGAAATAGCAATATGTTTAGAATATTTACGTTGTTGTTGCCATTGAATAATTGAATTATATAATCTATTAAAAATATTAATAATGATTATTAAACTACTTGTAATTAAAGTTAAAAATGGAATAATATCATAAGATATAATTAGTGTTTTATAAAAAACCTAATGAAATATTTTTATAAAAAAGTATTATAAGATTAATATATATAAATATATTATTTATTAATTATATTATATAAATTAATTACCTGTATAATAAATTGAGGAATATCCTCAATAATAAAATCTATCAATCCAACCCAAAATAAAATTATTTGTATTTTTTCAGAATAATTCACTGAAAACATACTTAATCCTGCAAATTTGGATGATAAAATATTTAATGCTTCAATATTTGTTGCTCCTAAGATTGTGAATATTGAAGTAACAGTTACATGTAATTTAAACCATTCATGAAATTGATTATTATAAAAATTCTCATAAATGATTGATATAATTGCTATAGTACAATTGATGCTAGTAGGAACAATCAAAGTAATTAAACTATTAATAGGATATATAAAAAATTAAAAATTAATAATCAATTATATTCTTATTTATTGAATAAATGATTTTATAATTTTTACAAACCTTGCAATATAAATCCAATAAATATCTTTACTATTTTTATATATAAATAATACATCTAATATAAAGTCTATAATTATTAATGCAAGTTGAAAGATAATTATACTTTTTCCCTACAAGAAATTTAAATTATTTAATTTTTGATATACAAAAAAAAAAAATAAGTTATTTTAATAAATAACAAAGTACCTCCTTATTTTTTTTATTAGCGTATAAAAATATCAAACATAAAATTAAAAGAAAAACCGAAAATCCTATCAAATAACTTTTATTATCTTGTATAATATCTTTAATACCAACTGTAAATAATAAATCAGATAATATAATTATTAATTAATTCAAATAAAAAAAAATAAATAAAATATTATTATTTGATTTACCTTTATACTTATAACCATAAGTTTGATCCAAGAATAAAGTATAATCATTCATCGAAATTTCAGTAAATCCTTTATATTTGATCATAATATCTAAGTCCTTTTGCAAATTATCAGCATTCCTTTTATAAGTATCCTTTGTAGATTTGATTTGTAAAGGAATAATTACTTGAGTTGAAGTATCAATTTGATAGGAGCCTTTACTTTCTAATCTATCTAAATCAACGGGAAGAATTGAAGATATTTCTTGGATTAATTGATAAAGAAATTCTGTTTGATTGGAATCTAAAAATTTATCAGTTCCTTCGGGTGTTAGACGGACTGATCCAGAAAATGATTCTAAAATAAAATTTAAATTTATAAAATCTTGTATTTGCTATTAAATTATTAAATAGTTTAACATATTTTACCTGCATATGGGTTTTCTTCATTTTCTAAAGGAAAAAAATTGTTTCTACGTTAAAATTATTAAATAATAATGTTAAATAATTATTAAGATTAAGTAATTACCTGTATAAAGATTCCAAACAAATGGTTCAATTCCAATTATAGGTTCATTAGTATCACTTTGTTTTACAAAATTAGATTCAATATATATCATGTACTTTTTATTCGGTTGATTAAATGTGCTTCGTAATAATTTTATAGAAACCGTTTTATGATCAAGTTCTGAATAAAATTCTGAAATATTAGCAGATGTTGTTTGACGTATCGCAATCTTTTCATTATTAATTTGAAGAACTGTAATGTTTCTTATTGATCGAGCAATTGAAATCACATAATTTATTTGGAGCTTATCTCTTCCCAATGAAATTTTAGAGCCGTCTGATGGATCAAGTGATTCAATATTTGCCATCACCAATGTATAATTACGACCTATGAAAATAAATAATGTTCAGTGAATAATAATATATAATGAATATATATATATATATATTTGTTATTTTTTTTTTACAGAAAGATAATTGAATTTACCATCGTCAACAAACTTTGGAAGAGGTATTGTAATTAATGTAAAATTGTTTGACGTAATTTCAGAAATCATTTCAGCACTGTTTTCATTCGTATTGTTAAAGCCAACACATTTTGTAATATTTTCGGGAAGATCTAATTTTGAATACCAATTATCATTATTATCATAAATATCACCACTAAATTTACATCCAAATTGATCATCATAATAATAGGTCATTAAATAACCTTTATAATATAAATTAGATTTTCTAACTTTTGAATCGTTATGAAGAACTTCATTATATAATTCTTTGATATCATTAATCGATCCAGATGAAAGGAATGAAATCAACAATAATTTTGTGGTTGAAGATGAAGTTAAGAGATGAATAACACATGTGTATTGAATTTTCGTATAGTCTGAATTGCAATTTGACCATTTCATTGTTATATTTGAAATTGCTGTTTGATAAATAATGAATGGTTTTGTAAAATTATTGATCTCAGGGTTGAAAAAGCTAACAAAAATAATTATGCTTGGTTGTAAAGAATCAGTTGTCATATTATTTTGTAAAGGAAAATTTTTAGAATAAATATACCCAAATCCTTTATCAGTTGTAGGGAATCTGAACGGATGATTCTCAGCTTGCAATGATAAATATTTTAGAGATACGGTTCCATTATCAATTTCAATGAATCCAGTACCATCTAAACTAAATTTTATTTATTATTTATTTATTTTAAGAACGTAAAATAACCAAAACATACTTATTCAAGTAAAACTTACATTGGGTCATATCTTTTCCATAAAATAGTATCAAGATCGACGGGTAGAAAGTAATAAAGTGTAGGGAGATTTTGATAAATAGATCCCAAGAATTGATGATCCTGGGGACCTATCCAAATATCCCTATTAGAAAGTATCAAATACATTTGTTTTACGAAATAACGAAATTAATATAAAAAGAAAAAAAAATTTGTTTACCTTATTATTTTTCCTTCTAAGCTTATCGTAAGAAGTTTCCTTCCAATTGGGGCGGTAATATCACTTTCAGAAAAATTATTATATGATAAATGAAGTTTATTAAGAAAAGTAAAAATTTCAATATAATCTATTGAAGGGTCTTGTGGATTATGTCGACAGAAATTTTTTTTTGGAATTGAAAAATTTTCAACTTCAAATGTTGTTAAAGTTCCATTTTTATAAAGAATTCTTAGATGCAAATTGGGTTCATTACAATCTTTATCAATTGGACGATAAAATCGAAACAAAAAAGATCCATTCGGAAGCACAAATTTGCTACCTCGAGAAAAATGCAGACCATTTTCGGATATATTGTAGGTATTTTCAGTGTAAGCATGAATTTCCGTAAAACTTGATAACGCAAGAATAAAAATCAAAAATAAGTTTGGCTTCATTTTTTTTTTTAGGCATAAAATTATTAGCAATTTAAGAAGAATGTTAGGATTTAAATAAAATGCGAATTTAATGAGCTCGAAACTGGTTTTTTTTCCCGTTATTGAAATGTGTTCTTTAACTGTCGAAAACAGTCGGTCATTTGACCGACCGACTGTTTTAACCATATAGTTCGACATGAAATATGTAATCGAAAATCAATACTCAGAAATCAAATGAAAACCAAAAGTTATTTTAACCGTACACATTGGGCATAAAAGAAATTCCTTAAAAGTTGTTCCCGATATTTTTTTATTTTTTTTTTTTTTCACGAGGGGAACCTTTTTTCCTTGGCGTTTTTTTGGATAACAACCATTATAAAATAAGGAAGGATGAACATTATAAAAAATTTCATTTATAATTAGGTGTACAAATAATACGTAACGTAACATTTTACAAAGGGTTTAGACACATTATGCACCTTTCGGAATAGAGCATTAAAAAAATTGAACTTTAAGTACAGTAACGTTATTTTTAACCATGATGAAAAATTTGTCTTTTTATTTATAGTTAAAATAATAAAATATCGCGAACGAAATGATAGGTAACAATGCGAATGCAATTAGAACTTATTTGTTTATATTTACAGATGCTGAACAACTTTACTTCGTCATACAAATTATGTATGATTTATCCAGCCTACTTGTCAGGAGAGGATGCATTGATGATGTCTATTTTTAACCTTTTTATTTTTGAAATTTGGTATCATGGTTGCCGTCTCGATTAATAAAACCCGATATATTATTGAAAAATTCCTTAATTAAATTCAACCCACAAGAGTGTAAAGTTACACCACGCTAAAGGAATATTCTTGTGCCTCATTAATGTAAAGGAAACTTTCTCAATGTTAACCTTTTTATTTATTTATTTTTTTTTGTGATCAAAAATTTTCATATATATATGGGTTCGAACTGACCTTTCTTCTTCCAACCTTTTTTTTATAAAAAAAAAAAAAAAAAAAAAAAAAAAGGGAACGAAATCAAGAAATAAATAATTTTGAAGAAAAAATCATAATTTAAAAGTAAGCATTCTTATCGTTTAAAATAAAAAAAAAAAAAATTTTTTTTTAACTTAATTTTTATTGATTTTTATTTTATTGTTTCTCTTAAAAAATCATTTTCATAGCTACACGAAGAAATTAAAGCATCAAAAATGAAACAAATCCTCAGATTATTTATTGTACTTGCTTTCATCGTTGTAATGGTAACTCCAATGGCCGTAAATAAGCGACAATTGCCAGAGTGTCCAACAGATGACAATACAACTGCACCACCCAATATGTCCGATAATGATGCTGTTCCAACGTCCAACGATGACACTTGTTATAAGCCTAAACCCGCAAATGCTTAATTCAATTTCTATTATGATTGATGATCTATTTAGAATATAGAAATTTATTTTTTCGTTTATACATGTACTATAGAAACTTTAACTTATATAATGTTTATATTATTATTCTTGGTATCAAATTATTATTATCATAATTGTTATTATTTTTTAATTGAGCAAGGTTTTAAAATTTACGTCATTATACAATTAAAAATGGTGAGATAATAAATGAATTATACTTTTAAAAAGTCTGTTAACGAATTATTTAAAAAGTGGCATTAAATGTTCGAAATTCGTGTTACATATTATCGTGACCGACTTCCTAAAATTTTTGATAGAGCATTAAAACTTACAAAACAATCCAACAAAATGATTTGGCAATGAAGTGGTTCTTAGATTAGATTTCTTGTTGTAAAGGAAATTGAAAGAAAGTTTATTTCATTTTATTTCATTTTTATAAACAAATAAATAAATGGTTGATTATTCCAACACATATTTGATTAGTATTTTATTATGACATACATAATAGCACTGCTTCAGGAAATTGAATTGAATTACTACGATATTTACCATAAATTAATAAATAAATTAAATATTTTATCATGCAAAAACGAATTATCAATATAAAGTTTCAATTTTTTAGCATCGAAGAAAAAAATTTTAATAGCGCTGGCAGATTTTGCCGCAGGAGATCATCATCTCGGAGGTCGTAACTTACAGTATCTCAAAAAACAATTTAATAGGCCCCGTTATATACTTATAAGATTAACAAATTTACTTCTTCAAAGTGGCGGATGACGTAAAATTTCAATAATATTTTTATCTTATTTATTAAAATACCTCTTAAGGTATAAAACGTGTATCCTTATTAAAAAATTTGCATTGCATATGTTCGATCTGCAATAACGAAGTTTATCAAATGTTACATAAAAGGAATCTATATATATATATATCATTTTTTATATTTGAAAAACAGTTTTCAATTATACTTATGATAATTAATCTTGAGAGAGTATTGCTTTACTTGATTTTTATTTTTTTACTATCATATCAATCTCACAACTAGTGATTGCACTATCCATTTCTTGATGTATTAACTCTATAAGTACTGTGCTTGCTTTTTGTAAAACGATTTGTGGAACTCCTCCCCAGATTTTAAATAACTCTTTTATCTTTTTATCATCAACCTTTGGGAATAACACTTTACAAGAAATATTTGAATTCCCTGTTAAATCATTAAATGTGCTTTTGGAAATACATGCCGATATTTCATCCTATGTCCATACTGGCATATAAAGTTTTCTTGTTCCTACCCAATTTTCAAAGTTTTGATAATTCTTTCTCTGTGGTGAAGTTGCAAGAATCGTTCTGGCTTTGCACTTTATTGAATATTTTCCATCGACAAGATACCAAGTACCTGATTTATTTATTTTGAAATAACAATATCGTTCCATAAAATATATTTTCTTGATGAAAGAAAATAGGATTCTGATTGATTTGATTATATATCACACATTTTCCCTTTTTTATCAATTAGATAAGCAGGTAGTAAACAAAGAATGTTTTTCCAATCATCGGAGTTCCTGAAATACAAAAGTTTTTATCATTAGTTTCAAAAATTATCATAGAGAGATCAATTTAACATTGACGAACAAAAATATTTGATCCTTATTTTGATTTATCAAATAAGTAGGTGCTTTCCATTAGAAATATTAATTTTTTGTCAATTTTAATATTCTGAATCTCCTTTCAGAATATAAAGAGATGTGTATTTTCATCTAAATTATTTCTTTTATAAGGAAATATAGTATGCATTTGAAGTAATTCTTTATGAGAATATTTAAAGCATTATTTAGTCAAATAAATTCCATGATAATGAATAAAAGGAATAAATAGATTACATAATTATTACACACATACTGCAATGTATAGAGAAAAAATAAATAAAGTATAAGTTAATCACAATACAATAAAAAATATAAATAATAAATAGTTTGAATAGAATAAATAGATGATGATTTCTGCTTATCTTTCATATACTTTAACTCTTAATGATTCACATTTTAACGCTTTAACCTTTTACATTTTCTAGAGTTCCAAAAATGACTCGCATAAACTCGCATATTTGACTCGCATAATTGTGCATAATTGTAAATTTTAGTTACATATAATAAATAAATACTTTAAATTAAAGGTATATAAGATAATTTTGACTCAAAACTTGACTTGACTCGACTCATTAGGAATACTAACATTTTCTTTATCATCTTTAACTTCTTAATCTTATCTTTTCATCTCTTTCTCTATTCATTATTCTTATATTCATCACTATTCAACTTACACTCAAACTCATTTAATCTTACTTTAAAGTTCTTTACTTTTCTTTTTATTTCTTCTAATTCTTTTCGACCTTTTCAATTTTTAAATTATAAAAAGGACAAAATTTTTTAATAGTAGATTGATATCAAAGCCAGTTTTAACCAGCTTAATAAATTAAGCAATTTTATTTTTGCAGGATATTTTTTGAGTTTTTGAAAAATAAAATTAATTTGGATATTAATATTATTATTTATATAAAATTCTAAAGAAATAATTATTTAAAGGATAATATATATTTTTTATTGATGATTTTGAAATTTTTGATATATAATCAATCTTTTTTATGGTTAATATCTCTTAAAATTAAAAAAAAAAGAATATGATTATAAAAATCCATATAAAAGATTTTTTTTTTAAAATAAATTTATTAGTAAATTAGATTCAAAATATAGTATGTTTATAAATAAAAAATTATATATTACATGATTATATAAGAAATGATTACACTTATAATTAAAATATATAAAAAATTATATTATAAGTTTTAATTAAAAATTAAATTTTTATATTTTTAAATTATATATTATAATAAATTTAATATATTATTAAATATAATTTTTTATGATATTAATAATTTAATTTAAAAATTTTAATATAAATATTTATTAATTTTATTGTATTTTAGTTTTGATGTTATTAGGTTAAAATATAATATGATTTTAATTATAATCAAAAAATCTCAGAATTTAATTTTTTTTAGTAAACTTCCTATATATATTTATATAAATATTTTAATGTTCACCTACTCAAAAATTGAGTTGATGCTAATTCACTTTTGCAATTATACAAAAATACTGATAAATATTGTATAAAATTTATGGTATAATGTACATATATATATATTATTTTTTAGTATGTATAAATTACATAATATAAAATATGCATAAATTATTACTCAAAATAGATAAATTACATATAAAAAAGATAAGAAACTAATATAATTTTCTTATTTTAATCATAAATTTATTAAATAGTATACATAATTTTTAATTTAAATTTTATACACTGCTGATAAAGCAAATATCAATATAGTTTTTAATTAAGATTGCTTTAAGTTTAATAACAGTTTCTATTTTTCAATATATACAATAATTATAAAATAAATACAATACTAATTAATTATCTTAAAAGCTAATAGTTCATTATTCATAAATATTAAAATTATAATCTTATACTTATTTTAATACCTGAATTTTAATGAATATTCTGTAAAAATTTAATATTTACAGTCAACAACCAAAATTATGCGGATATTTTAAAATCGAAAAAAATTATATACACATAATAAAATAAAATAATATTTTAACAAAATAAATACAAATATATCTTTATTTATTGATT